CAATAATCCTATCCATGTTGTATTTGAGGATGTTGCTTCTTCCATTGTATATGTTGAGAACAAATGATTCAGAGGCTGTTGCTACACTGTTTCTCATCACATGCATTTTTTTTGTGTATGTGATAGAAGAGGTAGGTTATCTACAAAGTTCTTGTTGCATGCAAGCTATCCATTGCATTCTGTGTTTCCCAGCAGATATGGAGATTTGAGAATAGACAACGGTTAATATCGACAATATTTTCATTATTCATTATATTATATTACTTATCAATTTTAGTATAAGTAATAAAGTAACGTAGTATATATATATTTACCTTAATGATAATAAAGATGCATTTGAAGGAGAGATCCATTAATTTCATTCCATATTTATGTATTCTTTGATTTTTAGATCAAAAGAGATAGTCGGATAAAAATATTAATATCAGAAGGGGTTTTCGTGGATATTATAGTAACTTCAATGGTTGAAATCATTAGTCAATTGAGGCCAGACCATCATGGAAAACATGAAAGCGAACTGGACGAACGTTTCGTTCTATTTGGGACTTGCCAGCTGGATGTACATGCATCTCACAGTTGATGCACACACTGGGATAACGCGACGGCGTTTGAAGCGATCAGTACTGAATTCAAGTCTCAAAGTGAACATCAACTCTAAGATGCAGGTACATACAGTTGACGAGTCCCAAATAGGACGAAACGCACGTCAAACTGGATTCCACTGCTAGCCACTATCCATTTTTGCTTATAAAGCTTGTGATTTTAGTCAATATCGAGGCAGTCCGCACAGTATGCACATATGCCAATAAGAGAGAGACTGATCAATTGCAGTCCTAAATAACAATGGAAAGATATAAGTAAACAACACAAAATAAATGAGTTGGAATGTTTACATTGTTAAAGAATTGCAACACTAGTCTACTTGTACAGTTGTTATTAAAGAGACTTTTTTTACAGATACACTTTATAATAAAATTGTTAGTGAGGGGTGGACTGTATAAAAATTTAAGTATGGTGTATGCTATTTATATCGATAGATATAAGTAGTAGGTAACACTAATTGGAAGTGGAAAATCTGGCAACAAAAGGCTAAGAAGATCGAGTTGAAGAGTATAGAAAGGAAAATAGAAAGGAATTATGAACTGGAAGAATCATACAGAATGTGAAGGATAAATGATGGAAACTTACAAATGAAGTATCCGGTGTATGATTCTCATGTTTATGGACGAATTAATCAGGTTTAAGATGCAGAGTCTATGATTTTTAGATGATTAAGAGCACTGAACAGCTGTTATATCTTTATTTGGGATTATCCAGTCATTCCTACAATTAAATTTCAAATTATGAAAGGTTATCGTTTTATCTGTTATACATGAAAGTCCTTAGATGAATCTTCTTTGAGACCATTGATGTATAATATTATTGTTAAGTATTCACGATACGTGTACATCTTAGTTCATGAAACATAATGATAGTTGTACAACGTGGAGATACTACTAAGCCAATCGTGTTCTAACTGTAAACTTTCTTGTATGTTCACTTGTATAAATCAAAACACACCTGTAGCCCTTCTAAGGTTTCTGCCCGATCCCAACCCAAATAAAGAAGAAGGGTTGAGTATGGGATATGTATATGTCCGTCATTGTTTGAATGATGTAAAAACCTGATAAGAATGAGGAAGAAAATTGAAGACAATCCAAAGGCAAATCGTTTCTGTTCTTATCAAAAGCAATTATTTAGTCCTTATTATGTTTACTACAGTCGTAATGGCTTGAAATGATCAATTATTGTTTATCCGATTTAGATTAAAACCATTTATAAGGATGAATGCATAGTGTTACCTGAATCCGCCACTATAGTCATTCAAATCTGAAGTATAGTAAACATTTTTTCTCCTAATTGGATATCAGTTTTATTAGGAATGTTTATTACGCGAAATCCATGAGGTGCGTTCAGTGGATGACGTCTGAATAACTTCTGCAGAATAAAGTACTTGGTTTAAAGCACATTGTAAACATCAACACTGAAATGAAGATATATCCAGATGACAAACCCTGGATTTCACTGTTAGTTCTATACCAAACATACTCAAACTTGTGATATAACGCTACATTGACTCAGTCCTCTCAAAGTGTACATACTGCTATAAAGACTGATTCATTTTAGTACATCATTGTTTCTATACTTAAACTAACCTTCTTTTTTAAACCTTTATCTCCTATTCAAAGCTCAACTTTAAGTGGTTTTTTTCTTAGAAATGAGCACTAGAAAGTGATTAATAAAAAAGTCAATGTCATTTATCTGTACCATTTCTATTCAACACTTACATAGAATCAAAATCTAGACTACTCAAGTCTAACAATCAATATGAAACTATTCCCTTATGCAGGTACATCTAGCTGACGAGACCCAAATGGGACGAAACGCGCGTCAGATTGGATTCCACTGTAAGACACTATCCATCTTTGCTTATAATTAAATAATTGTCTGCAATAGCGTTACATACGTTAGAAACGGGAAACAGGATTAATTTTGAAGGTGCCAAAATATTTCAGAAAGGCTTCAACACTCATAAAGAATGATTGACAGCAGAAGTACTGTATATATGCGCGAAATAGAACAGCCTAAACAGAACGGATGGTATTCAGCTAGCAACCATTTGACAAATATTCATTAACAAGTAATTGGACCCTTTCTTACAATTTTTCAACCTTCAGTTTTCACTTTTTATTTTTACTTTACATAAAATTATATTAACATCAAATTCATTTAGTATTGCTTGTTTGAATCTTCCCATCGATGCGTTAGGACTCAGTGGCCGAGTGGATAACGCGATGGCGTTTCAAGCGAGGGTACTGGGTTCGAGTCCCAGAGTGAACATCAACAAGTCTGAGATGCAGGTACATCCAGCTGACGAGTCCCAAATAAGACGAAACGCCCGTCCTCGATTCCACTGCTAGCCACTATCCATCTCTGCTTAACATATTAACATCAAATATCATTCATTAGTAGCTCATTCTTACACATACATACATACATACACACACACATTTCCTCCAGTCTTCTTTCATTCTACATCGTGAACTTTTTCATATGATTCCCATTTAACTGACTAATATTGTGAGTCGACTGAAGCTAGACTACCATGGACAACCTGGAAGCACTGGACTGCCGTTTCGTTCTATTATGGGAATCCTCAGTGGCAGAGCGCATCTACGATCCAACTTCTCGAGATTCGAACCCAGGACATATCAGTCTCGCGCCAGAGCGCTTAACCACTAGACCAGTGAGCCAGTCGGCATCCTACGGTGTTAATGTCTAAATTCAACCAATCCATAAAGTTTAGCAACTGTTCACCAGTTATCTTCAGTGAAATGATATCTCATAACAGACCTGGTTGAACTCTACTGGTCACTGCTTCTCACTAGAACTCCAGGAAATATCTCTTGATGTCAGTCACTAGTGAGCATATGATTATTAGCAGAAAGGTTTTTTGTGGAGATTTCAGTATATTCATAGTTGAAATCATGAGTCAATTGAAGCTAGACTACCATGGAAAACCTAGAAGCAATGGACGATCGTTTCGTTCTATTGTGAGACTCCTCAGTGTCAGTGCGCATCCACGATCCCAACTCGTGAGATTTGAACCCAGGACCTAAAAGTCTCGCGCGTGAGTGCTTAACCACTAGACCACTGAACCAGCATCCAACGGCCGTCCAGTGCTTCCAGGTTTTTCATGGTGGTCTACCTTCAATTGACTCATGATTTCAACTATATAAAATTACTAAAATTTTCACAAAACCCTCTTCTGATTTTGATTTTGATTATTACCCTGAAGAAGTCCAAACAAGTTATCTGGACGAATAGTTGGATTAGAGATTATTTCAAATATCATTTTGACATTTAAAAAAATTTATCATTGTTCCCACCAGATATTTGTCAACATTCTTTTTTTTCTTCTTTTTGCAAAGTTTAAATAAGGGGGGAGGGATATTTAAGAAAACAGTTTGAGAATCCAATCTAATTATCTTTTCAATAAGAACTAATGAAATTATATGTATATACTTTATTGAGCTACTTCTTATTTAACTAAGTGTATTGTAAAAGTCTTTCCAATACATCAACTACTTATCATTCACTAGTTGATCTATGTATCTATGTATGTGACTGTATGCATGTATGTGTGTGAGTGTGTACACATAGTGATTACATAATAATTAATCCAAATTTTATTCATATCATTCTCATGCTAAACAATTTTCCCAAATGTTTAACAACAGCAACAATCATTATTGATATGAAATTTTTCAGTTTTTTTGCGGAGGGGGGGGTTGGGATTTGAGGGAGATGAATTGTTTATTGAAAACCTTTATAAGATCATTTATACTGTAATTCATTAATAAAACAATTGTTATCTAAATAGTTGTAAATAGTAGTTTAGTTCTAAGTTGAAATCATGAGTCAATTGAAGCTAGACCATTATAGAAAACCTGGAAGTACTGGACGGCCGTTTCGTCCTATTATGGGACTCCTCTTCAGTGCGCATCCAAGATCCCGCCTCGTGATATTACACCTATCAGGACCTATCAGTCTCACACACGAGCGCTTAACCTTTAGATCACTGAGCCGACCGGTATCCAACGGTGTTAATATCTAACTCCAACCGATCCACGAAATCGAGCAAACATTTCACCAATGTCTTCAGTGAGTTGATATCTCCCAACTGCTGAGGAGTTCCACAATAGGACGAAACGTTCGTCAAGCAGTGCTTCCAGACTTTCCATGATAGTCTAGCTTCAATTGACTCATGATTTCAACTATATATAAAAGAAGTTACTAAAAACCTCCACAAGAAATCCCCTCATGATTATCTTTCTTAATGAATTATGTACACGTAAAGGAAATGAATCACAAAGTAAGCGATTCCATTTAACACATGCTAATATGTATAGAACAACAAAAAACAAAACAAAGGCATATGAACAACTTTCAATACTTACCAGATACAGATTTTAATCCTGATCTTTCAAAACTCGATGCTTTAAATTGATTGCATATATTTAATTTATTCAAATGATTAGTACTAATACCGACTGGAGCACTTTTATGCTCAGATAATTTGTTCTGTTGTTGTGATAGTAGTTCATCTGTTGTTGTTGTGGTGGTTGTAGTTGTTGAATCATATACAACATCACTAGATGTATTCAGTTGTCTATATTGTTGTTTATTATTCCAGATTAATGTTGTTGGTACAGTAGGGGTAGTAGGTGAGGTTGCTGTCACTGTTGTTATCGAAGTTGTTGTTGTTGTTGTTGTTGTTATTCTTGTCGAGGATAATGATGATGATATCGGAGTAGTAAGTGTTTTCTGCTGTAGTTTATTACTTCGGGTCGAAGACGAACTAATACTATTACATGGATTACTAGTGTCACTATTCACTGTACAAGAACTAATATTTTGATAATCATAAGATTTTTTATAAGATTGATTTAATTTTTGACTTTTACCTTTGATATCACCTAGATGATTTGCTCTTGGAATAAATTGACGACTGTTCAATTGATGTTGTGGTGATAATGGTTTGGCATTACAAATGGAATTTGTTGAAGATGGTAATGTACTATTATAAGTTGTATTAATTATAATAGATGAAGGAAAACGTAATGATGTAACACTGAAATAGAATTAATTCAATAAATCCCTTTTAAAAAGTAATCATAATTAGATTGTTAAGATTATTTAATTATCCTTAATGAAAAACTCTTGAACTAGAATCATTGTAATGAGGCGATAAAGGTATATGTATCTATATATCTAGGTGGTAACTAGTGGGCGTGCCAGACTAAAAAAAAAATTTAATCACCGAGTATTATAATCAATAGGATAATATCTAATCACTGATTGGTTAATAAATTATCATGATTTTGATTGGTTCAAATGTGTTGTTAACGTTATTATTGTAGACTTGTAAAAATATATTTAATCTACTCTGAATAAAGAAAAAAACTGTCATAAAAAAAAATAGATTTTGTTTTCAAGTTTATTAAAGTCAAAGATGAAAAAAAATTTTTTATCAGAAGGGGGGGGGTTTCGTGGAGGTCGTTTCATCCTATTGTGAGACTCCTCAGTGGTAGTGCGTATCCACGATCTCGCCATGTGAGATTCGAACCCAGGACCCACCAGTCTCGCGCCAGAGCACTTAACCGATAGACCATTGAGTCGGCCGGTATCCAACGATGTTAATGTCTAACTTCAACCAATCTGCAGAAATGTGGGACCATCTTCTATTGTACTGAGGTAGATATCATGACACGAGTTTCGTACTATTTAAGATTTGTTAGATGAATATGTCTGCATCTCAGAGTTGATGTTCACTCTGATACCTAAACCTATTACTGTTCGATTCAAACACCATCATGTTAATCACTTAGCTACTGAGTTCTGATAGTCCATAGAAAGTAAGAAGACATTTATAACGATTGTTATTATTGCATTTCGGGACTTCATTCTTATTCAAATAATTAGATTTTTCTGAAAGTATTTACTCTAAATGTTAAACTTGATCATATAGAACGCCAGTTTCCAGATAACAGTATACTTTTTGACGTACTATCAAGTTTAAAATAGCGGATGTCAGATTTTCATGTGAAATTCGGAATGCGATGATGGATAGCTCGTAATTTCCCGAAAAATAAGTTCTGGATAATCAAAACGTGGTTACTATGACTGATAAGTGAAAGAACTTGTGAGATCAATGTTTTTTGGGGTGGGGAAGATATTGAACAAATTCCTAGTTTTTGTGCACAAGACTGAAGGTACTGGGTTCGATTTTCAGTGTTTGGATCGTGAGTACACACTCATGAAAAGTTATATACTAAAACAAAGACAAGGGAGACTATAACTTATGGACGAACCAACGAGGTATAAGATAATAGGTCTCGGATTTTGGCGCAAAATTCACTCATTCATTTCACTAACTAGAGTTTTGGCATTTTAGCCGATGTCAGTTCGTGACGAAAACCATCAACTGTAAATCATAATCCTAATTCCTCACACTGGTTTATAGCCCTCATTCAGTCCTAGTTATTGGGTGGACACTCTCAAGGTCAGTTTGGCGTCACTTAAAGGTCGTCCATATATTATAGTCTCACGAAAACAACTGTCCAATGCTTCCTGGTGTTCGATAGTGATCTGTCTCAGATCAATTCGTGACTTAAAAACTATGGAAATCCTAAGATGATAATGGAAAAGTGGATAGTTTAACATGAAAAAAGTGTTGAAAGGCCGATTAGACTAAGATATATATGATATTTAAAAATAATTTATCGATTTTTCATGGAAATTTCCATAACTGTTTATCAATACGGTTTTTGGATAACCTATCCCCTTCTACCACTAAATCCTGACCTTAAACATCAATTCTAACCCTAACTTCAAACCCAAACGTCTACGTTTAACGTAATCCATTTTCAGGTTTCCATGCAATACATTATTAATTTATATCACTTTCATCCTGACAGATCTAAAGAAATGTTTTCCACTTTTCATGGGTCATTTTAAGGATCATTGACATTTGTCAGTAAAGCATACTTTCATAATGTCAAGGGTTAGTTGAATCATGAAGACTATCAGAAGAGCACTGGTATGATAATTTAGAGTTCACCATCCTAAATACTTCCATATTACTTTCCCTTTCGTTATTAAAGTTATTAAATCTACCTCAATAGTTGGATCATTATGCAAAAGGATATATATATGTATATATATATATATATATATATATATATATATATATATATTGCCAAGCTGAATCGAAAGGATAGCTATGTAGTACTATTACGTAAGGTTACTTAAATGTAATTTGAAGAATACACGTCAAAATAACGCGATGGATTTTGAAGCGAACGGTACTAAGTTCGAGTACCGGAACATCGAACTAACGGGTCCAGAATAGGATAAAACACGTGTCAAACTGGATTCCACTACCCGCTACTATCCATCTTTGCTTATAATACTTGTGACTTAAGGTTATATCGAGGCAATCCCTACAGGATACACATATGCCAATAAGAGAGACTGATCAATTATAGTCCTAAACAACAATAGGAAGATACAAATAAACGACACCAAGTGAACTTCATTAAGAAAATTGCCCACCGAAATCTTAAGTTTTGTTTAATTTAATCCAAATATTATTATTATTTTCATTTAGTATTGTTTGTTTGAATCTTCTCATCGATGTGTTAGGATTGCAACTGGTCTGTCTCTAATTGCCATATGTCCATACTGTGCGTATTGTCTCGATATAGCCCTATTTCACAAGCGTTGTGAGCTGAGATGGATAGTGGCTAGCAGTGGAATCCAGGACACACGTTTCGTCCTATTTGGGACTCATCAGCTGGATGTACCTGCATCTCAGACTTGTTGATGTTCACTCTGGGACTCGAACCTAGTACCATTCGCTTGAAACGCCATCGCTTTATCCATACGGCCAATGAGTAACCATCAACTCTGAGATACAGGTACATCCAGCTGACCAGCCCCAAATAGGACGAAACGCGCGTCAAACTGGATTCCACTGCTAGCCTCTATCCATCTCTGCTTATTATTTTGTTTTGTTTATAAATATTCAACAACAAAAGATTCTTATTCATAATGAAAATAAATAATTAAAATATCCAATTATCAATTTGATGTATAGATTCTATAATGTTGACTAATAATCAATAAACATTTGTAATATGTCCATATATTTATTTAGTATATTGATCGATAACCTTGAAATTAAGGTCATATTTGATAGATATAAACAAGGAGTATGACTCATTATTCATTTATTTAAATAGGAGATAAATATTGAACATAGTTATGTGATTAAATATAAATCAGTGCACAATTCAACTTGAAGTTACAAGTCATATTTAAAGGAAGCTAATAAATATTATAAGAAATGAATAAGTAGAATAATGAAATCAGGACTAAGTGGCCGAGTTGATAACGCGATGGCATTTGAAGTGAAAGGTACTGGGTTCGAGTCCCAGAGTGAACATCAACAAGTCTGAGATGCAGGTACATCCAGCTGACTAGCCTCAAATAGGACAAAACGCGCGTCAAAATGGATTCCACTGTTAGTTACTATTCAACTTTGCTTACAATGCTTGTGATTTAAGGCTATATCGAGGGAATAAGCACAGTATGCACATATGCCAATAAGAGACTGACCAGTTGCAGTCCTAAACATCAATGGGAAGATTCAAACAAACAATACTGAATGAATTTAATCTTTACTGTGTTTTTTCATCAGAAGGGAGTTTTTGTGGATATTATAGTAATTTTATATAGTTGAGATCATGAATCAATTGAAGCTAGACCATCATGGAAAACCTGGAAGTACTGGACGGCCATTTCGTCCTGTTGTGGACTGCTGAGCAGTGCGCATCCACGATCTCGCCTCGCGAGATTCCAAACCACGACCTATCGGTCTCGTGCGCGAACGCCTAACCTCTAGACCACTGAGCCGACCGGTATCCAACGGTGTTAATGTATAACTTCAACCAATCCACGAAGTTGAGCAACAAATTCACAAATGTCTTCAGCGAGTTGATATCTCCAAACAGACCTAATTGAACTCTACTAGTTACTGCTTCTCACTGGAATTTCAGGAAATACCTCATGAAGCCAGTCACTAGTGAGCACATGATAAGGATGTTGTTTGTGGGGATTTGTAGTAGTTTTTATATATAGTTGAAATCATGAGTCAATTGAAGCTAGACCATCATGGAAAACCTGGAAGCACTGGATGGTAAGATCTTGGTCAATAACAGAAGCATATCCTTTGATCTATATCTAGTTGGTTCAGTGTATCACTCGTATTTCTCTTCTGAAGAAAAAAGGTCAACTTTCTATGGTTGAGCTCCAAGGATTTAAGTATGGGGACATCAGATATTTTTTTTACCCCACCGTTGCTGCTACCTTGACGTAGTGGTCGGGCTTGTCTATCGTGATGAATCAATCGAACTATACTCGCTGAAACAATCGTTCCCCCAAGGTCCTACCATGCCAGACAGATCGGTTGAAGAGCGGTAAGACTAAAAACAGAAAACCCAAGGTCCGAAGGCGAAGTCGTACTACTGACTGTACAGAGGTGGGACATCAGTAAGGTATTTCCTTCAGACAACCAGCATAACAGCGATGCTGCCTTCCCAGAAGGAAGGGTAGGGTTAGAAAAGGTCGACCCTAAAAATGCACACCACGCTTTATCCCATGGATATTCGTCTCCGGCGGTACAGTCTTTTAAATAACGGAGCTAACACAAAAACTGCCCACAAAAAGGTCGTGTGTGACTGACCTCAATCAGTTGTCCCTTTGGCACTGCGGTCACACTCCCAGGTCATTAAGACCACTTCTAACCCAATTTCTTTTTCAGGTACCTCTAGAAGAACCTTTCCACGGTGTGGGCAACCGGGAAGTCATAACTGTCCTCATACCTCTAACAGCACTCAAGACTGACATCATATATTTTTACTGTTTCAAAATTGACAATAATACTAACCCACAATTATATACTTTATTATCCTTTTCACTTAATCATTTCCATGTATTAGCTGTATAGAGAAATAGTAAACAAGTTAATCAATTTTGGAAGCAACTATATTTGGCATCTACCTTTCTTCT